AATAGTCTAGCGATTGTTAAGAGATTAGAGTGAGAGCTGAAGGTCTGTACAATTAATCATATATTGTTGTTGCTGTTGTTGTTGTTGCTGTGTGATAAATCGAAACAAATTATAATTGGACAAAGCGTCAAAGCAACAACAACACAAAAAGCTGCACAGCTAGACACACACATATGTATGCGCATAGGTGTGCGTGCGTGCGTGTGAGCAAGCGACATGAAACGAAAAAGGCAAATCAAGCAGCAGAACAAGAACACGACAACAACAACAGCCAACAGCAGTGGCAGAGCAGCGGTAACAGCAGCAACAATAAACTACACCCACGAATGCGGCATCAAAATGCGCCTCCAAACAGTTTCCCAATCAAAATGTAAATATGCCGCAGTCGCGGCCAGCGTCAGCGTCGCTGCCGGCCAAATGGTGGTGGCGGCCTGCATTGCCTTATCGCTGCTGCTGGGGCTGGACGACGCGTCTCTCAGCAGTCGAACGGCCTGTTTGCAATTTAAAAGTAAACACACACGCACACACACGCACACACACACACTCTGACACACGGACACACAATAAATGCAGCACAAAAGCAAATGCAAAGCAAAGGCAAAGGCAACGCCATCGCCATGTTTGCGCGCACAACGTGAAACTTGCTTTGCTGCTGCTGTTGCTGCTTGTTCGCTGTCAACGTCAGCAGCAAAATTTTGTACGGAGAGCTAGCGAGCGCCCACTAGGAAATTTACTAGCAAGCTTTACATGTGCGCAACCGGGTGCTGACTAAATTGAACACTGGGCTGTGTGTATGTTTCTATATATATATGTAAGTGTGTGTGTGCGCAACATTAAATGGGAACGATGAACGACGAGTCAAAAGCAATAGCAATAGCAGCAGCAGCAGCAAGAAAGCGTAGCACTTGCTAGTGGGTATGTGTATGCCTGTGTCTGTGTGTGTGTGTACGTGTTTGTGTGGCTGGCAGTGGTGAGTGAGCGAGCAGCCGTCGGCTGATGCTTGTTGTTGTTGCTGCTGTAGTTGTTGGTATTCGCAGTGTAGCTGGCATTCAGCTTTAGACATTTACGTTTACGTGTACCGCAAGTGCTCATTACGTATTCCACTATACACTTACACATACACACACACACACATGCATACACATGCGTTTTTTGAGGGTTAATATATTGTATGAAAAGATACTTCACAGATTTTACGCTAGCTCGCAAATCTTGCTTGTTTACTCGCCCGTTTATACCCTTAATTTTACTCATTTCAGTTGGATTTTTTCATTTTATTGCATTTTTCTTTGTTTTTTTTTTTTTTTTCTGTGCACATTCTGTCTCGTTCTTTTCGTTGCGTCTATCCTGGTCGTTTTGTGTGCGCGTACTTTGTGCCTAATAAATTATGCGCCCTTTTGATAAATGTCACTTTGAAAGTACATTCCACCTAATTGTGGCAAGACCGTGAACGAAAGTAGCGGGAGAAACAGAGAGAGAGAGAGAGAGTGAGTGTGAGAGAGAAAAAGGGAGTCTGAGATTGAGAGAGTGGGGACATTAATTGCCATAAAGGCGCTGTAATGAGCGCACCTGTCAAAATTTATTTCATATTTAACAGTTTGTTGTGGCAGCTGAAGAAGAAGCAGAGGAATCAGGGAAAGGAGAGTGGGTGCAATACACACAGGAAATGAAATGGACTGGAAATGGAATCTGATTGAAGTGAAGCTTTCATTGGAAGTACAGAAATAAGGGGAAATGAAGCGAAACGTATAACAATGAAACTCATTTGAAGCAAAGCTAAACATTTGATTACATTTGAAAATAAAACAAATGGGTTTAGAAATTGATAAAGACAAAGTATATATTAATATATTATTAAATATATAGCTGATCAAATTAAAGAAAATAAAGTGAAACAGAATGGAAATGAAATTTGGCAGAGGAAATCCAAGCAAGTAAAGCTACTTATCTCTAGAAAAAATTTATTTATTTATTTATTTACTAAAATTCATATTAAACGGAATTTAAGTAAAACTAACAAAGTAAAGAAACATTGCCAGTAAAGCTGATATGAAACGGAATTGGAGGTAATGGAACATAGTGAAGCAGCAACGTAGTTGAATTAATAAAAATATGCGTTTAAGAATCTTGGCTATAAATGGAGCTCTAATATATGAAGAAAGGTACAGAATACAATCTAAGCATATATAGCATATAGCATATAGAGGACAGTTATTCATTTGAGTGCGAGAAACGAAATGGAATCGTATTGCCCGATCTATATAGCTAAACCTTATTTGAGGCGTTTCTACATACTAATAAATGTATCTACAGATGTTTAGTACTGCTAAATGGAATGCAAGGTAATAAAAAGAACTTGAATTAATGGGATCTCGATTAACACTGAATATAATCTTCCTAGATTCCTGGCCACGATAGGCTCAATTAGCCGTGTATGTAAAATAACTATATAAAGTATATTTATTAAATACAATAGTAGGGATATCTAAGACTTTGAGCTATAAATGTGTGCAAAATAGAAACATCATCTTATAGGCATATGAAATATCTCTTTAATATTTGTATATACGATAATTTTAAGTCTTAAGTAAATGCTAAATTGCATTATCATATTATATTATACGTTGCTCGGCTGGCTTTGGTACTTTGGCTGGCGGAACTTGCCATAAATGATATAAATTGTATTTACCTTCTATAAAAAGTATATTTAATTGCGTTCTATGTTTAAATAGTATAAAAAGTATGTAACGAACACAAAAAGCTCGGGAAAAAAGCCGAGCACAATATTTGAAATGTATCTATAACCAAGGAAAAGTATCGCTACGGTTGTACGGTAGCTGAAATATTTTGGAAGGCTGTTTACGATACGTTTGTCATTTAGATCTATAATCGTTAATTATTTAACAATTTATTCCAATTTACATCAAATGTATATGAAACAACAAAATGATTAATATACTCTCTTTGAAATCGACCCGAAGAGTCTTTCAATCCATAAACAATTTCAAATGTATCTATGCTATGCATACTTAAATCTGATATCTTATAGAAACAAATGACAGTGAATTAACACAAACAAATATGAAATGGAAATTAATATACTTGGAAGTCCGACGATTACCAAATGTATCTACGCCCAAACAGGAGTATCTGCAGCAGAGTGTTTGCCGAGCTCTGCAAATATCCTGCAGCTTCTCGAAATGTAATATGCAACCGCACAGACAAAACCACAGGCGGTTGCCACACGCACACGCAGAGAGACACCCACACACACACGCACGCACATTAAATATTCGTTTTGCCAGGAGGATTCATTTACAGTTGGGTCGCAAGGACACACACACACACACTGCATACACTCACATATGTATCTATGGCTGCTGTTGGCATTTGAACCTCGAGTGGAGCGGGTCGCTTATAATTACTTTAGCATGCTGCATTTGCAGTGGTTTTCGGTTAACTCCATTCCAAAGGAGATGCCATGAATTATGTGCAACCGGAAATGGAACAAGGTGCACGTTAAGCTAACCCCAAGCACCCACTGACCATAGAAGGGAAGTTAGTGGAAAGTCATTTATGGCCGGGGATTGGTTGCGATGCATCATAAGCATCTATAAGATATGCATAGTTATTTAGGGTATAGTTAAGTAACTCACGATCTACTCCGTTGTTTGAGAAGAACATTCCATTCGAATACAATAGTAAGCATTTTCCTGTTATTGTTAATGCAATTTAATGTAGAATCAAGAAAATATGCATATAGAATTGGGCAAAATAATCCATATTTTCATTATAGAGCCGATAGGCTGATAGAGCAAAAGATAGCCACAGAGTTAGAGTGAGAGAAGATAGAAGGAAGTGCGAAAGAGGCGAGAGACATGGAGGAAGATAGAAGGAGAGAGGAAGAGAGAGAGAGAGAGAGAGAGAGAGAAAGAGAGAGTGAGACTGTCTGTGAGAAACAGAGAGAGATAGAGGGAGAGAGAGCGAGAGACAGAGCGATATTAAGTGAGTGTGTGAGAGAGAGAGAGAGAGGGAGAGATCAACAGCGAGAGAAGAATCGAATAAGACACATGGATAGAGACAGAGAGAGAGAGAGACAGAAAGTGAGACAGAGAGAGATAGTGAATGAGATACATGGACAGACAGCGCCGCACATGCTATGTAAGGAATATATCAAAGTAAAAACTGTGGGATCCTACAAATGGTGTAGCGATAAGTTACTGAGTAGAAATCCATTCACAAATTTACCTATTATGTATTTTTAAAAATTTATGTATAACTACATTAACAATGTACAATGATTACTGTTGACTTTTCCCGCAACTCCTACAATGGCAGAAATCAAGTTTCTTTTACCAATAGGAGTGGCTCTATACAAAGTAAACTAAAGTCCCAGAAATTTAAATTAGATAATGTCAGTCTCCCTTTAGGGCTCACATGTCGCAGGATAAACTGTACTTATTGTACAATTGTACGAGCATCACTGATATAAGCAGCACCGTCGTGTCGCAAGTGAACGCTTATCTGCATCATTTATCAAACTGAATGTCTAAGGACGATTTATCCAGCTATTGCCATGCATATCAATGTGTAGCGAGCCTTGAAATCAACGCGAAGACGTGCGAGAAATATGTGCTCAAGGACATGCGATTTGCCACTTGTCGCTGTCAACGTTTCGTTTTTTTTTTGTTGTTGTTTTTTTTTTGTCTTGCCTTAAGCCTTTGAAATGCAAATTTGAACGTTTTCAAATTCAATAAAGTTCACAATGGCTTTTCCTCTGGGCGGCTGTCAAAACGGAAAGCGAGATCAAGTAGGCTTCATATGTCAAGTGGGTGTCTGTCACAGAGATGCAGATACAAAGATTCAGATACACACATGCACACACGCACGCATGAGCACATATACATTTACACACACGCAAGCAGAGAATGATACCTTTTGCATATGGCCCCACATATTCATATTTTATACAAAATGCCCAACGCACGGAGCATAACAACAACAACAGCGAAGCTCAAGCAGCGACGGAGGCAGCGGCAGAGGCAGAGACAGAGGCGAATTCACGATAATTATAAACGCCAAGGCCAATACGTAGCTGGCACGATTGACGACGACGGCGACGTCGCTGCCGACGCTAGCGTCAATGCAGACGCGTTAATCTCTCATTTGACAGTTGAATTCAATTAAAAAAGGCACCCACACACGCACGCACACACATACAGACAGGCAGGTACGCAACGCACAGCCACCCCAAAAAGGTAAAGGCGTCGCAACATACACAAAGCATATACGAGCAGCGACACGAAGCGTTCGTGACGTTGCCGAACAGCCGAACGTTGTAGTGGCAGCCAATCAAGCCTCACAACAGCCGCAGGGTGGGCGGTACAGCAATGGCGCGAAACGGCAACAGAGCGTCTCTTTGTCTCGCTTGCGCTCGAGCTCTCGCTCTCACGACGAGCTCTCATGCGCCGACGCGACGAACGCATGGCAGACAGCGCAGTGCCGAAGTCGTTGGCAGGTCTAATCAGAATCAGTCTTTGAACAGTTTTCGTGCCGTGCACTTTGCGGACGGAGTAAAGTAAATTTTTAACGCTGTCAGCGCACAAGAGAGACAGTGAAAGAGCGATTCAGTGTGCGAGTGTGAGAGACAGGGAGAGAGAGAGAGCATTTTAAATCTCAACCGCTGTTCGTGATAATAAAAACGTGTATGAGAAATCGATAAGAGTAGCAGCAGCTGAAGTGAAAGAAGCGCACACAAACACAGAGCGCCCAGGCTGTGTGTGTGAGTCGGCAAGTGCTATAAWGTAAGCAGAAGAAGAAGAGTTCATCATTTGGTTTGAATCGATTTATATGCTTATGAGTTAAATTGATTTCAATCCCAGTGAAGCTCGTGAAGCCGGTAAACCAAATACGTGAAATCACGCATTGCCACATTGTAAACAAATTGCGACGTAGTTTGGCAAACGCTTGGAAAAACTACGGTGTGTACATTTCTAATAAGAAAAATTTCACTTTGCTTTTGATTGCGCGGCGAGCGCGGCGAAATGTAACGAAAAATAAATTCATGTTCGTGCTACTACTATACACAGCTTTGGTGTGTGTGTGAAAATTTTGTAAACACACGTACACGTGACAAGTGCGTTTGCGTTTGTGTTTACGAATATGCGTATGTGTGAGTGTTGTTGTCGTATTGGAATTTTCGTCGTCGCCGTAGCTGCCGCTGCCTATTCGAAATAAAAGCCGAAACTAAAACTGCGGCGAAGGCGAAAACACGCGCGCGCAAATTGTAGAAAGTTTTGTTTTGGGATTTGATTGTGCCGCTGTTACGCTCTCCCCACAGCCCACAAGGGGCGGCTGTCGCTGCTGTCGGTGCTGCCGCTCTCTCGCCGCGGCGAATAGATACAAATTGGTGTCGTCGTTGCTTCGTGTGCTCGTTTCGCCTCAATTGCGCGGCGAATGCGAGTACGAACGAAACGTAGCCAGCGCTCGCACATAGCATTTGAATTTCGTGCATTGCTTTCAGTTGTATTCTCAGCGGCTGCTGTTGTGGACAATACCGCACGTGCATAACGCAAGTAAATTTCATTCGATCACATATACAAATTGTACGCTGTGTCGCCGCGTCTCTCGTCATCATCGGCAAAGCTTGTTGCGTGCGCGTCGTGTCTCTAACTGTGCATGAATGTATGCGTGTGTGTGTGTGTGTGAGTGTGTGTGTAGCAACCACCCTGTGAACTGTTGTTGTAAAGTGCGCTCGTGCCGGCGCCAGTTGCTGCTGCTGTTGTGGCTGTTGTTGTTATTATAGCTTCGCTTCGTTTCGTTTCGATAGCGATAACAGCGAAGCGGCGAAGTTTGTGCAAGCTGTGGCCATTTCGTCACTGTCAGCGTGTGTGTGTGTGTGCGTGTGGGTGTGTGTTGGTGTATTGTTATGAGCCTTGCTCGTAAACTAATACGTCAGCGGCATTGAAGACGTCATCAATGTTGTCAATTGTCCACCCATAAGCCACCCACTAAGACCGGCACTGTGAGCCATTTTAGTCTAACACTTTGAGTGTGTGAGTGTGAGTGAGCTTGTGGGTGTGTGTGGGGTTGGGCGTGGGCGTTGATGAATGGCTCTGTTAGTGTTTGCTTTGCGTCCACCTTCTCATTATCCTTAGCAACGTTTGCATTTTCTATATAAAAGTGTGTCCAGCTTCCGCTGTCTCTCTCTTTCGCTGTGTCCCCCTCTTTCTGCCCTCCTTTTGGCTGTTGCTAACTCTATCCTTGTGCCCACTTTGACTTAGTTTGCCCGCTTTTGTTTTTGCTGTCTTCCTTTTTGCTCGCTTTTTGTTTAGCTTGTTGTTTATTATTTTTTTTTTTTTTGCTAGCATCGCATCGCATCGCAGCACAGCTTCACTCTCTTGTTGTTGTTGCCGTTGTCATTGCTGCCGCCTATTTCGTCTTGCCTTTTACAAGCTGCTTTCGTGCCAGTTTCGCGTGAGCGTGTGACGTACAAAAGCAGAAACATGTCAAAGGCAAACGGGGCAAAAACAAAATGAGAAAAAGAGAGACAGAAAAAAAGTGGGCTGCGCATTTGCGGGCCAAGGCGACTTTTATTTGCCCTACAGTTAGATTCACAGCCTTTGCTTGGGTAGCAGCTGGACGAATCCTAGATTGGCTTAAGACTTGGGTTTTAATATAAAACTAACTTTTTTATATATGACCATTGCGAACCCAAACTCTCTCAGGAAATATACTATATGAGTTTAGCGCAATGGAATTATATACATATTTGAGCTCAAAAGCTAAAAAAGATAAGATATATTGAAATGAGTAAGACTAAAAAACAACTATACTGATTAAATATACATAGTTATATTATAATTATTATCAACTATATGAATAAGCAACATATTTTGAAGCTTATGAACGATCATTTTAATTGAGCATGTATTATATTAAAGCTAATCTAATAGGCATGTGGTTTACTACTTGAAGCTTTGTAGATCTCCATATGCTTATAATATTTTAGGAAAATAATATGAAATTTAGAAGCTTCACAGATAAAACTTGTTTTAGTTTCTTTTCAAGTACTCGTGGTATTTCATTATACAATCAAAGATATGCTTCAAAAAGCAAAAAACCACAAGAGTTTTACTACCAGAAAGGCAAAGAAGTCAGCAGATAGTTTAAGTAGGGGCTACAGAATATTTGAAAGAAAAGATGGATAAAGAGTTTGCATAGATTGGTAGATAGCTTGATGAATGGGCAGTTATGTATATAGATAGCTAGATAGAGGTACTATACAAATCGTGTAAGATAGGTAGAAAGACAGAATAATATAGTTATGTGAGAAACATAGAACATGAGTATATAATGTTGAGTGATGAAAAGGAAGGATATATACATAGCTACGTATAGATAGATATCTATGTTTAGAGATACTGATACATACACATCAATCTAGGAAAAGTCTACTCATTTATAAATGTCTATTGATTATCGTAGACGCTTTTGGCTCTATAGTAGATAGTAAGATAGAAGATATATGTATATATAGTTAACTCGAAAAATAGAAGAATATAATAAGTGTATATTTGGTAGATTGAGATTAGATAGATTGATTAGTAACATAAGTTTGATGTTTGGAGCCTATGCTGCAAAGACCTAAGGCTTATTATATTCTAACCTCTCCAACTTTAGTAGTTTTCTAATTCCTATGGCCCAGAGTACAATAATATAACTAACTAAAATTTTATAAAATCGTTTGCTACTTTCAAATGGATTTTTAGGCCTTGTATTCTAAACATATTTCGACAATTATGCCATGAATAATATTTGACACATGTAATATTATATTTCATACATATGTACATACGTCTAGTCAACCGACTTAGCCTCTTAACTATGCTAATTCGACACCGAAAGCAACTTAATTGCAGACAAAACAATTAGGACTAGTTCCTAAAAGCTCTAACAACAGCACATTAGATGTATGGGTATGAGTGTGCATGTGTGTATGTGTGTGTGCATGTATAAATGTATTTCCACACATTAACATGACATTTGCTGCTGCTGTTGCTGTTTTTGTTGTTCCATTCAAATCTCATCAACTTGATGTGGCATACATATTCTTCCTCTTTGCTCTATGCCTATGTCGCTGCCTCTGCCGCTGCCTCTGCCGCTGCCTCTGCCGCTGCCTCTGCCGCTGTCTCTGCTGCTGCCTCTGCGTCTGCTTCTGACTCTGCCTTCGCCTGTGCTTCTGAATCAAGCCAACCTGCTGATCCAACTCGCTGCCCACATCGTAATTATCATCATCATCATTATCGTCATTATTATTATTATGATTATCAACTCTGACTCTGTGTGCGTGTGTGTGTGTGTAGGGCATAGCAAGAGCGTAATTTTCGTACTTTATTCGTTTGCACAACGAAAGACGAAGTCGAAGACGTCGGGCGCAGACGAAGGCGAAGATGAAGACGTCGGGCGAACTCAACAGACGAAGGCAGCGAAGTCGCCGACGAAGACGAAGGCGAAAAACCTAAAACTAGATTCAAGTACAAAACATCGTCGAGTGCGCTGAGTGTGTGTGCGGGCATGTGCGTGTGTGTGTGTGTGTGTGTGTGTGTGTGTGCGAGAGGTTGTGTGTCGGATGCCCTCTGTGTGCAGCACAAAGGGCGTCGCTTGTAAGCCCAGTAGCGCCCCTTAGCCCCCCTTTGCACCCACCTTTGCCTTAATGTGCGCCGCATATGAGTTAGTTTTTTTGTTCTTTTTATATACATAAGTGTGCGTGTGTGTGTGTGTGTGTAGTTTTTTTTCTTTTTTGGCATTGTTCCGATTCATGGATGGCTGATTTACTAGTTGAAAGTGCTGCATCTGACGTTGCCAGATCTTTTTGTGGCAGCCACAGTTGCAGTTGCAGTTTTGCTACACTGCTACATAGATATAAAGTTTTAGATACATATTTATATAAATGTGTGTGTGTGTGTTGGGGTTTTGTTTGACAAACGAGACTAGACGAGTCGAGAGACCTAGAGCGACCCAACCACATTCATGTCGCTGGGTGTTGATGATGGTTGTTGCTGCGATTTTTGCTTTATGTTGTTTCTCACAGTTGGATGTTGTTTTGTTTTTACCTTTGTTTTGGTCTGTGTGTTGCTTCTTCTTCTGGTGAAGGCAAAGCTACAGTCTGATCTTGTCGAGCTGCTCTTTGGTTTTTGCTTGCCCCCAGATCTAACAGCCTTATAAAGCTTGTAGCATCGTTAATATGTCTAAATATTTCATATGATGTCAAACGTTCGAACTCCAGTGAAAAATCTGCGAATTTCTCTTATATTTTGTAAATAATTATTCAGACCTAACAGCAGTATAAACCTTATGGTATCAATGAGCTGTCCAAATATTCTTCTAAGAGATATTATAAGACCTAGCTGTAAAGCATGAGCTATTATCAAGATTATATATTATATATTTCAACTTTATTAAGTCCCTGAGAACCAAGCTTCCAAGTCATATTTCTCTCTGCTCTCTATCATAAGACCTTCCAGCTTTATAGCTATCTTGATCGATCATTAAGATGTCTTGAGTCTCTTAAAAATAACGCTCGAGCTTTATTTAAGATATAGTTCTAGCTTTTGTCTCTTTTACACATATTTGAATTGAACTAATTTCTTGCTCTTCTTCTTATTCTTCTTCACAGGACATGTTAGCATCTAAAACATTCTAAACTATTCAAAAGAGGCTATCATTACATATACACACACATACACCCACACACGCACAACAAAAATGCAAATGAAAATGGAAAAACCAGCGCAGTTACACAAACTGCAATCTACGGAACGCACTGGTTCCGCACGACAGCTGAGCCAGTTCAATGAACAGTTCACCTGTCACATATGCCGAGGCTATATGATAGATCCAACAACAGTGGACAATTGCTATCATACATGTAAGTGAAGCAAAAGAGCTTAATATATAACTATATAGATGCTTATGCCGTAGATAAATATATACATATATCTATCTCTATATATATATCCATATACTATCTGTACAACCCACTTTGATTGTAATTCTCTGCAGATTGTCGCAGCTGCATTCTGAAGCATTTGCTGCGCGATGTTTACTGCCCACAGTGCAAATCGAGCGGGGGCAAACATATCAGCGAGGATAACCTCAGGTAGGTGTTGCAACACCTCTTCTCCTCTTCTCCTACTCTCCCCCATCTCCCTCACTCCCCAATCTTGGCTTTAACAACTGTCGCGCCTCGTTCTCTTGCAGATCCGATGACACTTTGCGTGCGCTGATTTATAAACTGGTGCCGGGTCTCTATCAGCGCGAATGCGAACGTTTAGCTGAGTTTAAGGAACAGCACCAGGAACTGGCTGCCGAGGAGGACTTGCTGCACAAGTCGTCAAGAGAACAGCAACAGGAGTTCTTTTCGCCTGGAGAGCCTATTAGGTATGTCAATGTCAACTTTTCTTGCTTGAAAATAAAATAGATTTTCTATATTATATCTAATCTGTTTTGCTGGTATAGCTTATTTAATGTTTCAAACTCTGCTTGCTTGACAAAATTATATCATTCTTTATATCAGTTTACTCTTAAGTTTTATTGACAGTCAAAAGTAACCATTTCCTTATCAAGAAATAAAATAAATGATCTGATGTCAATAGTAAACGAATGATATGAGATCAAGAAGAAGTCTGAGAAATGAGAAAAAATGGAGTATTCTTAGGTTTTCTTTGACTTTCTTCGTTTTTCCGTTAAATTTATAAATGATTTATGTATATAAAAGAAAGAAAGAAGTTTAAAGCTCAACTAGATAAGTTTCTTTCTTCATTTCACATTGCTATTTCTTCATTCTGTTAGTTCATCTTTCGCACATTTTCCTTTTAGTGCTTAAGTTGCTTGTAATATTCCCTGGTAAATCTCTACTCTGCCTCTAATTTAATTATCTACATTTTTCTCCTTATTCGCTCTCTTCCCAAATACAGTCTATCGCTGGAATATCATCCGGCTACACTCAAAAATTGCGGTTCAACCGAAAAGCCGCCCATCTGCTATCTGCAATGCCCCGCCAATCTGAGGGTTGTGCATCTGCAGCGTTTTCTCTGCTCCAAGTACGACATCGATCCGGAGAATAAACACGTCGAGGTCGAGGTCACGTATGAGGATGAGGTTTTGCCGCTCAACTTTACGCTCATGGATGTCGGCTATTGTTACCACTGGCAGCGGGTGAGTTCTCAAACTTTGTTTTGCTTTTTGGGAGATTAGAAAGAGAAGGGGATGGGAAGGGAAGGGATGGTATAGGATGGGATGGTATGGTGTGGTATGGCACGGTATGGCATGGGCTCGATTGGGATGGACTGCAATGGGTAGGGGGGGATAAGTGGAAGGTTGATTTGTTTTGTCTGAATTTGGCACTTAAAATTAGCCGCTGGCAAATCGAATTGTGCCGCTAGTTTAGTGTCCATGCCATAATGCCGATTCAGGGTGTACAGCAGCCACCATAGGGTCGATTATATAGTTGATTAACTCTGCCGTAACCATATGAACTCAGCCTAAAGAGTAGCTACCTACATGAGACTTGGTGCAGCTCATTTTGCAATGGAATTGTCTGGTATACAAATTATGGGTTGTCTTAAGAAAACAGATCATCAACACTGTATCGGGTTCAGAGTGGAATAAGTTAGGTTGATCCGCTATACATATATTTATCAATATGAATGTTGAGCTCTTGTTCCTAGAACAGCCATATGTTTAAGTACTTGGATCTACAAAAAATATAGTTTTGGTTAGATAAGCTTATTAAAAGTTGAAATGTATTAATTGGATTCAAATAAGAGATAGAAAGATAAGAATGGTAAGAGATAGAAAGACACAGATTTCTATACAGATTAGATTGATAGATCGATAGATAAAGAGATAGATAGATAAATAGGTAAATAGGTAGATAGACAGATAGATAGATAGATGATAGAAAGATAGGCGGATAGATAGATATATGGATAGATGTATAGATAGATGATAGATAGATATAGAGAGGGATAGATAGATAGATAGAGAGATAGGTAGATAGATAGATGATAGATAGATAGATAGACAGATAGATAGAAGGATAGATAGATAGAAGGATAGATAAATATATAGATATATGGATAGATAGATGATATATAGATATATACAGAGAGAGATAGATAGATGGATAGATAGATAGATAGATAGATAGATAGATGATAGATAGATAGATAGAGAGATATATAGATAAACGAATGATATATAGATATATACAGAGAGAGATAGGTAGATAGATAGATAGATAGATAGAGATATGTAAAGATGTATCTATGATTATATTTTATAAAAATTTGCAAGTTGGATACAGGAAATGTCAAGCATTATGATATACGCCCGCTGGGGGCGTGGCAAAAATAGAAAACACTCCAATCTTTTGCAGTTTTCAAGCTAGCTTGCGGCAATTCCTATATAGCTTCGACTAGATTGTTGATAGACGTTTAGCAAAATCCTTCAATGTTTTCCTCATTTCCTCATTTCCATTTTGCATTTTCTATTTGGTTTTTCGCTTGATTATCACACAGCATGCGCCCATGGCGTTTCGCTATAGAATTCTGCTGCACGAGCGCATTGAAACAAAAAACGATGAGAGCAATTTGTCAAAGGTTAAACGGGATATTGAATCGAATGTCGCTGTGGCAGCCACAACAAAGCCCAGCAAATCGGTGACCTTTGCTGATGAGTTGCCGTTGCATGTGACAAGCAAGACGCGCAGCAAAGCCAACAACAACAACAACAACAATAGCAGCAGCAACAATAACAACAACAACAACAACAGCACAAAGCTGGCCAAGACCAAGCGTCAGTCGGCAGGAGGCAAACGCGAGTTGGAGGAGGCGGCAGCAGCGCCAACAAATTTTAAGAGTTTGCGCAGCAATGATATGCGCTACAGCGACTATGGCGTGGTCAACAACAACAACAACAGCAACAGCAACAACAACAGCAACAGCAACTCCTCCTCATCTGCGCCGCTGCTGCATGTCAAGAGCGAACCAGAACCAGAGCCAGAGCTGACTAATAACAACAACAACAACAACAACAGTAGCAACAACAATCTCTCGAATCTCAATATTGTTGTCAGCATTCCTCAATCGCAGCTGAGCAAATCGGCAGCGAATTACGGCGATGAAGGCGCCTTCGAGCTGAAGACAGCGAATAAGAAATCGACGCCGCCTTCGCAACCGCTCAAACTGAAAATCGAGCTGAACAGCATGACGACAAAGCTGACGCTGCCCCGGTCGGCAGAGCCGCGGCTGGAGAGTGCATCGGCGGCGGTGGCATCGGTGCAACATCAAGTGGATCTGGAGACATATGTGAAGAACATTGGCCTGAAGCCCATTGAGCCTGTGCAGCAGGAGGCGCTCAAGTACAGTCCGAATGCGTCGCCCATGTCGTCGAGCAGCTGCTCCACCAATGGCTCCAATGGCAGCGCAACCATCAGCAACAGTTGCTCGTCCTCCTCATCGTCGTCGCATCGCAAGCGCAAAAAGAAACACTCGAAGGAGCCAAAGGATGCGAATGGCAAACGCAAGAAGCTGCATGCGATGATTAGCTCCCAGACCGATGGCAAGATGAAGATGAAGATCACAACAACACACAATCACAAGGCGCACAAATTGGATCTGAAGCGATCCCATTCTCTGGCTGGCGGCGAGCTGGTCTCGCTCAAGCAGCTGCAGCTGGAGGAGCAACCAAAGGCAGCAACAGCAGCAAATGTAGCAACAGCAGCAACAGCAGCAGCAACAGCAGCAGCAACAGCAACTAAGGAAGATGCTCTCAATCGCACGCTGGGCGAGGAATCGCGCAGCATCAACAGCCTGATGACAGCCAGCAACAATTGCAGGGCGGCGGCAGCAACAGTTGCTGCCGAGCCGGCGCTCAAGTTGCCCGCCTCGCCGCCGCTGCCGCCCAGCCTATTCAAAGGCTTCAATGCAACGGCAACAGCAACAGCAACAGCAACAACTACTGCAGCAACTGCAACACCAACAGCTACACCAGCAACAGTTGCTGCCAGCAAGCCAACCAAATTGGCCAAACCGCCGCTGCCTAGCAATCACAATAGCAATCGCAAGCCGAGCGCCGTGCAAGCGCCACATTTTCTCGTGCCGCAGTCGCCGCTGCGGCAAACATTGCCGCCGCACATGCAACGCTATCACTCAGCGGCGCCCAGCTCCATTGCCAGCGCGGCCAACAAGCAGCCGAAGCGCGCCTTGTCGCTGGACGAGAGTCAGCACCAATTGCTGGCCAAGCAGCCGCGCCTGGACTACCAGCAACAGCAGCAACAACAATTGCATTGCTTCAACCCTGTTGCTGCCAGGCTGAAGAACAATGTCTATGCGCCGCCCATGCTCATGCCGCAGCTGTGCCCCACCGGACGCAGTGTGACCATAACGCCGCGGCCACGCAACGTCCAGAGCTATGCCTATGCCGCGGACAGCGGGCTGGAAATAGTGCGTCTGGGTGCGAGTCCGGGGCTAACGGCAACTGTTGCTGGCGCACGGCTGATGGGTCCGCCGGCCAGCTTGCCACGGCAGCCCGCCAAGCGTGCCACAAATGCGGCACAGTCGGCGGCATCGCCGCCGTTGTCCATGCCGGCCATGGTCAAGTCGCCGCCATTGTCTGTGACGCTGAGCGCACAGCGAGCGGGCAACAACAACAGCAACATGAGCAACAGCAACATGAACAACAGCAACAACATCAACAACAACAGCAACAATGTTGCTTATCGCACATCGCCGCCTGCTTTGATCAATCTGCGCAATCCGACGACGCACGCAGCCTTTGCAGCTAAATCAAATGCTGCAGCAGCAGCAACAGCCAAAAAGGCAGCAACTGTTGCCGCAGCAGCAGCAGCAGCAGCAGCAGCAAGCAGTCAAAGCAAAGCCAATGGCTTGGCGCTGCTGGACAAGTCGAAAACAAGTTTGCGTGAATTTCGGCCGCCGACAGCAGCAGCAACAACAACAACAACAACAGCAACAGTTGCAGCCAGCACGACAGCAACTGTAGCAACAGCAGCAACAGTCAAGGATGCTGACATACTTGATTTATCAGCAGGACGCAGCAGCAACAACAGCAGCAGCAGCAGCAGCAGCAAACAAACAACTGCAGCAGCAACAACAACAAAGTTGGCGCCCACAACAGCAACAACATTAAGCAGCAACAACAGCAGCAGCAACAGTCTGGAGGCAGCCTTAAACAAAATCAAACAAAACATTTCCGCCAACAGCAACAGCAGCAGCAGCAACAACAACAGCAGCAACAACAACAATAGCAGCAACAGCAATGCTGCCGCCGCCGTTGTTGCCGCTGTGGCTGCAGCTGCTGCGGCTGCTGCTTCTGCTGCTGCTGCTGCTGGTGCTGCTGGCGGCACCGGCGACGATCTACAAAATCTGCATATGCTCTCCGAGTCGGCGACGGCGCGTGAGAAAATCTCGATCAAGTGCGGCAATATCTATGAGAATAAGCCAAAGAATGCGCTGGTTCGGCCGCAGAATGCATCAGTGCGCAGCATACCAAATCCTTCAGCGTTGGCTTTTCGCAATCAGGCAACGCCGACGGCAACTACAACGGCAACAGCAACAGTTGCTGCTGCTGCTACTACTGCAACAGCAACTTCCGTGGCCAAGCCGTTGACTGTCAAAGCCGAAGAGACGATCAAATTGTCAGCAGCAGCAACTTTAAGTCCCAGCAGCAGCAGTAGCAGCAGCAGCAGCAACAGCAACAGCAATACGCCTGCTCCTGCGGCAACCTCACCGCGCGCTTTGAAGAAGGCGACAACAATTGACCAAGTTGCTGCCAATTTGAACATACGTGCCGAGGCCAAAGCCGCCGCAATGGCCGAGGAGGCGCCACTGGGCAGCAACACCAACAGCAGCAACAATAGCAGCAGCAGCGGCAGCAACAGTGCAACAGCAGCAACTGCAACAGAAAAGGCCGCAAGCAGCGTGGCCAAAACGGAAGTCAAGACGCCAGCAACAGCAGCAGCAACAACAGCAACAGCAGCAGCAACATCCACAATTGCCACAACAACAACAACATCAACAACAGCAGCGGCAGCAACTGTTGCTGCTGCTGCTGCCACGTTGTCAAGTCTGCCCGCACTTTCGCTACCCGCGCTGTCGCTGCCAAATRCTGCTGCTGCTGCCGCTGCCGCTGCTGCTGACAACGAGTCAATGTCAAAGCCGCCCGTTCAAATCGCCGCCACCGACACTTTGGCATCGGTGGCAAGTTCCGCTTAGTCACAAGGTAAGTGCAACATCAAAATGAAATATATCTGTATCAAGCAGTCAAAGCCACACACACACACGCACACACACAAAGCAAAAGACTGAGCGAAAAGATCTGCTGATTGCTATATTATTTGTATATAATTTTTACTTATATTCATCCATATACATACATATGTATATAGCATATATTCACTTCTATTCATAGGTATAATAAATGTAGATTCAGTTTCTTATTTGTTTATAAAACATACTCACACTTAGTCATATATTCATTTAGAACCATATATGCATTCATTTATATTTATATTTGATTATTCACAATATGTATTTATTTACATATACAGACGTAAATCATATACATATAGATATATTTACTGATTCACTTGGCATAATATGTAATTTTCCTCATCGCACACTTGAATCACACGTATCACAATGTATTTTATAAAACCACAGATGTACCCATTATTCACTTGAATATTGCTTATATAGAGTCAACTATTCCATATAATATTTACAATTTTTACTCGTGAAAAACTTTTCTGTCTATAGCTTATTCGCGCACTTATTCATTTCTATAATACAATTTTTACATTTGTATAAGGCTTAATACTTTATTTATTGTATATATGTAAGAATCATTTATTTATAACAAATATTATCTGCTTTTATATATTGGCCTCTGCTCACCTTAAAATATTTATTGATGCACTTCTCTATATCTATGTATACCAATCTTACACTAACTCTATCTTAACTTAATTTTTCTATTAATCTCAATTTAATATTGAGGTTTTATTTGTTTATAGTCTTCCACTGATTTGGTGGACTTTTATATATCCTAACATAGATTATTTCATATCGGACTGATTTCTAGATACTTAAAATTATATTATATAGTTGCACAACTGATAGACATTTTGTACATACATATCTTCAGCTTTAACATTAAACATTATCAAATACACTTTGGCACAATTTCAAGTTTTTTATAATTCCTGAGCCTAGCTTAAATACCTTTTAGATAACTTAGTTTTAATGGCTCGGCTCCAGTTGTTGTTTTTCCCACTTCAGTTTTCTATTGTTGTTAGCTGTTGCTTAACTTATCATTGCTTTGTATTCTCTATATGTATATGTATTTTCTTTTTGGCGCGTTTCCCACACTCAACCCAAAAAAAGAGAAAAAAAATTCAAGCAGAAGAGACTCAAATTATACAAATTACATTTCATGTTTGCGCGTTTTCTGCTGCTGGTTTTTTTTTGTGGCTCGGCTGTTTCTTTTCGTTTTGCTTCTGCTTGTGCCTTTGCTTTCCTCTTTCGTTTTTCGTTTTTCTCAAGTAGTCATTATACACAAAAACAATTTTTTCTTTCTTTTAGCGGGCAATGCTCGTCAACGTGTGTCTTTCACGTTAGACTCAGCTCTAGCTAGCTCTGACTCCCTTCCCCCACCATTCACTGACACGCTCTTCCTGCTTGACCCCGCTCTCACACTCACTCTCTTTCTTTTAGCAAGCGTTTTGCTTGTAAAATGTGCGTCTTCAGTATTAACTGAGGCTCCAGCTAGCTTTGTCTTCCTCCCACGCCTTTGGCTTCCTGCCTGTGCCACTCTCACACTCACTTTTGTTGTTGGCGAGCATTTGCTTGCGCTCTAGCAAGCTTTGACTCCCTCCCATCCCTTTGCCTTGCTCAGCGCGCTCTTCCTGTCTGTGCCACTCTCACACTCACCAAATTACTCTCTTTTCATTAGCGAGCGTTGCTTGTATAAATACGCAAAGCGTCTTCAAATTGTGCATCAGCCTAGCTAACTTTTCATCCCACCCTCAGAATTGCTCTGCCTTCGAAGTTCGAACTCTCTACCTGCCTGCCTGTGGCCCGCTCCCACTCTCAGCCTTTTTTTGGGTGAACATTTTGCTAGTCTAGCTTTCTTGCTAGCTTTATCTCCCTCCCTCGCTTTTGGCTAGCTTAGCACACTCTTCCTGCCTGTGCTTTGCCTCTGCCCCTCTCCCACTCTCACGCACACATACTCTTTTCGTTTGGCGAGCAATGTTAGTTGCTGCCACCGTGGCTACCTCTAGCTTTGTCTCCCTCCCTCCCCTTGCGCTCTCTTTGGTACTTTGGTTGGTCATTCGTTAATTCGCCGTATCGTTTCATTTCTTATGCTGGTTTTATTTATGCCGTTATCACACACACATATATAACAACAACAGCAAAAATAGCTCATTATATTTGTAGTTGCTTTCAGTGCTAAATTTGTATTCTTTTTGCTTGCCTTTTTAATGAACAGCAGCAGTGCCCAGCATACATCGATTCACTCGCTCCCTCTCTCACTCACACACACACTGGCACACTCTTGCTTGCCTCGCACATTACATCATTTTGTTGGTATTTTCAAGCATGAATAACAATTTACATTCTTCTCGTACTTGTACAATTTGAAATGCAGCGTTTCTTTGGATGTGCGGCACGCAAATGTATTTGGTGGCGCCACTCGAGAGTCTGCAAGGCAATCAGAACTCGAACGCAAATTGATGGAACAACAACAACCGCAACAACAACAATAAGACGTGCCACTGCAATTAGCACAATGAGAAGCGCAAAGAGCGGCCGCAACTTGAAGTGACTCGACTAGACTCGACTGCAGCGGCGCGTAAGCCTTACATGAATACAAAACTATAATCATATATACCAAATAACAAGATATAAGATACAAGATACACACACACGCACACAGATACAGATACAGATACAGATACAGACACACAGATACCGAGCGTTCGCATACACATGCAAATAATTGTGCAAATATTTGCGATTGGAATTAGTACGCGTCGAAATAAATTATAACCGTAATGGAAATATATGACTATAAATATATATATATGCAAATATAAATATAAAACGTATTTGTTGCTAACTACAACAACAGCAACAACGGCAACAGCAGCAGCAGCAAAAAAGCTGACACAAAAATGCGAAATATAAATAAATAAAACACAGCGAGAGCTGCTTTTGTTGCTGTTGCTGTTTGGCATAGCAAAAAAAAACAAGTAAGAACGTTGCAGTCGGGCGTTACCGACTGCGGAATACTCATTCACATCCCATCAACAATTTAGTAGTTAAGTTTCGTTCTAATACTGTAGAATATACAGGTTTTTCCGATTTGCCACGCCCCAACTGGGCGTAGACACCTCATTTTTGGTCAGTTTTTAGAAAGAGATAACGTTACCCTAACTGCAAAGTTTGAATGCTTACCCTAAAAAAATGTGAAAATTACAGGGTATTTTTCGATATGCCACGCCCCTAAAGAGGCGTAAAAATTATTTTTGGGGAATCGATAGAGGAGGCTACCAGTAACTCAACTATCCAAATTTGAAGCTTCTAGCTATTATACTTTAGGAGATATAAACTTTTGCGGTTTGCCACGCCCCCTGTGGGCGGACATATATCCGACAAAACTTTTTGGTCTTGGGTGATCAGTCCGAGTATATATTCCAAATTTCAAGTCTCTAGCTTCAATAGCGCCGAAATAGATTGCGTTCATACGGACAGACGGACAGACGGACGGACGGACAGACGGACAGACGGACAGACGGACAGACGGACGGACAGCAAGACGGACATTGCACAAAACCAATATACTGATTCACTTTCGTGAATGAGTATAAAAACCAAAACACAAAAAATGCGAACGAAAATTAATTATAAAATATCAGCGAAAAACACACACAGAAACAGAAACAGCAAAAGAAACGCGCGCAGACCACATTGAATACGCTTACGATGTCAATTGAAATCGTTGGACTGAAAAACCAAAATAACAAAAAACAATTCGCAAAAAAACTAAATCGGGAACAACTCGTTGCTTTAGATTAGATATCTTTAAATTAAAGAGGGAAAACAAAAACAAGCTGAGAACGAATAAAATTTATTCACAAAGTAACTGAAAAACAAAAGCAAAACAACAACAACAACAACATATACATACAAAGTGTTAAAAGATAGCGAAAACAACTCGCTGCACTCGGAACCAACTCAATAGGCAACTGCTTTAATCTATATAGAAACGAATTAGCAACTCAATTTAAATTGCTGATATTGGCTATAGAAGGAGAGAGAGATAGAGATAGATGAGGGAAGTAACTAATACTTTAGTTAACTCATTATCAAAAGAGCAGAGAGCAGGCTTACAATGGAAATTGACTAAATTCCTAGCAAATAGCTTCATTTTGAAGACATTTTTAGTTACCGTTGAGCGCTAACTAGCAACTCGTTAACAAGTGCTTCTTAGAACTTAGGATCTACTCGTCGTCAACAAATAATCAATTTAATAGTGGATCAATTAGGGTTTTGTAACTCGCGGGTAAATGAAGGAACAAAGTTAAGCAAAGCTTGTTTAATCTACAAACAACTCGTCATAAATATGCAGCGAATGCTTGAGGTATAAGGCAAATGCGTTGTATTTTGTTGTTGAACTCTTAGAATGAAAATAAAATTGAAGCGAATTCGAATGGGTAAAGCGAATACCAAGCGCCTCATTCATGATTAATCTAACTAACATAGAGACACTCACTGTAGCAAAATGCTTAATTTTGAAGCGATTTCTACTCGCTAGTGAAACTCGTTAGGGATACTCGTTAGGCATACTCATTAGAGTCAGGATTACTTGTTAGAGTAAGACATAGAGAGTCGTTGCTCTAGTTCATCAGGGAAACTCCTTAGGGTAAATCCTTACTCGATTGACAACTTATCTTAAAAAACAGATGTACAACAGATCAACTCATTTATCTAGATAAAACACGAAAAAGGAACCATACAGATGCAGATATAGTTAACACAAATCTACAAATTCCACACACAAATCGCTTCAATTGAATTGCCCGATGAGAAGGACAATTGTCCTTTTCAATAGACCAAACAGCGAACATACATACATTAAATAGACTTCAATGTGCCTATAGGGTATCCACTTGGCCTACCATATGAACGGAATCATTACACTACAGCTGATAAAAGACGAAAATCAAAATGCGAACAAGCGAAAGGCGTATATTTTGTGGCTTTGAATCAAAATCGCAKCACATCTAGRAATCATATAAATTATTGATATAAATTTGTTGTGAAAACGTGAAGCGAACTTAATCGGAAGTGTTTTTTTTTTTTTTTTTTTTTTTTTTTTTTTTTTTTTTTTTTTTTTTTTCTGTATCTAAATTTTTTTTTTTTTTTTTTGTGTCTGCGGCGAAGTGTGAAGCAGGTTGTTGACGGCCTCGGCGCATTTTGGACTTTTAGATCTTTTGTTTTTTGTTTTTTTTTTCGGTGGTGTGTGTGAACAGTAGCCAACCCACATACATACACACGCACACAGATAGACAGGGAGACGGCATACAGTTAGAGAGCCACGCACGTTCGTTGAGGCGATAAAATTTTAACGATTTTGCTGAGCTGAGCGTGTCAAGCATAAAGATACGAAAATACAACAACTATATATATATAACTAAAATATACCGATATATATATAAATATATATACCCAAATATATATAGGTATTCAAATAACGTGTAGATACTTTATCGTATTTAGTGTTACGTTTAATTGCTGCACGAACTTTGTACATAAATTTAAATATCGAAGCTACAGAAACAACAGAAACAAAAACCGAAAATCGAACAGCAAAAACATTTATTTTTAAAGCTTCGACCAAAAAACAAACAAAATAAAACAAACACACAAAAACAATATAAACTAAAAATATATAAAAATCAAATGACTCGAAAAGTCGTTTTACGTGCTTATCGATAAATGTTGAAGTGCTTTAGCAACCGCTTATCGATAAATGTTAGCAAACAATACACTTAAGCATGGAACAGGTAAACTTATGAATCCATGGCTAGAGCTTAAGCAAGCTATTATCGATTGTTACATATATAAAGCGATTAAAATAATCGTTATCGATAAATTTCAAGCGTCTAATAACGTACTTCTAAGTTGTAAGCTAACCTAAAATAATCGCTAGCCGATCAATTTATAAACATTTATCGATAAATTTGCAAGCACTTAACCACAAGTAGTAATCGACCAATGTTTCAGCGCCTAAACAAACACTTATCGAAAAGGTGCAGTAGTTCACATTGATCAATCATCGATCAACAGTGCTTAAGTAGAAACATTTATCGATAAACGCAAAAGCTTTAATGCATATAACAATAATTTAGCTACTTTTAGTATGTGTATTGTATTTCGTATATCGTATATCGTATATTGGCGTCTATTACCTATATCCTACATAAATTATCGTCAACGTTTTGCTCTCGGTTTTTATCTGTTATTTCTATGTACATAAATTAAAAGCAAATTGTATAAATATATAAATAGTCAGGCTAGCGCTGCAATCGTTATCGTTATCGAGTTATAGATATTACAAATAAGTAGAAAAACCCAACAACCCCCGCGATATGTTGCAACCACCTTTTTGGTTTAAATTTGTTGAAAATTTACATAAGTCAAACAAACCCTCAAAATCTCCTTTGAGAGGCCGAAAAAACCTCCCCAAAATGTTTTCGATATCGATAACTTTCAGCATAGCCATGACAACTAAGCAAAATTGTTGTAAAAATTCCTATAAAACATGAAATCAAAGAAAGAATTGCTAATTTATTTAATTTTTAATCAACTCACTTTGTGCAAAAAGAAAAATATTTTATAAGCTATATATTATATTAAATTATATAAATGTTTGTTCCACTGAAATGTTTTAACTTTCATGCTGAAAATTAACTAAATTTACACAAGAGAAAACAAAAGAAAAACAAATTTATAATAAACATAATACAATTATATATACATATATACATTTATTATAGTATATTTAGAAATCTGAATGTGTGCACATAAAAAAACATAAATTATAGAATATTAGATGCATATATATTATATACAGATATTATATTATTGTTAGACAAGTTCACACACAATGTAATCCACACACAAAATTCTAAGTTAAACAAATAAATTAGCTGATTTTCAAAATAAATTGAATGAATATTAATAATGATAATAATAATAATAATAAAAAAATAAAAAAAAAACAAATTCACTCACAAATAGACAAATGTGGTTTTCTTTACTCTTTATGGGCCTTGATAAATCAGTGCAACGGAAGTGGGAGTGGGAGAAGGAGGCGGAAATGGAGCAGGAGCCGGAGACACAGGCGACGACAGAAGGTGTCGCTTATGCGGCTGTGAAGATATAGATACTTACACACGTACATATATATAGATACCTTTGCAATATATGCGTATAAGAGTATCGGGTTACAGCTACATTTGCTGTTACAGTTAGGCGACGCTTTAGAGATGAGCGCGTGATAAGCTTCGGCAGCATACAAATTGCTTTCAGGTTGTTGCTTCAAATAGTTTAAATATTTAGTTGTATGATATGTATTATTATTTATAGGTATGTATACATTTTCTTGATTTAAATTTAATATATTTATTCAATTTAAATAAGTATCTATAAAGATCTTTTAATCTTTTTTAAGATTTTTGCTTATTTATGGAAGTTCAGATTTAAGCTTAATTTTTCTACTCTCTCTCTATTTAATGATATATATATATATGCAAATATTTCAAAAGAATTTTAATATATTTTTTGCATATTTCATAGATTTTCACTACAATTTTTTACCTAACAGCGAACTTAAAATCAAAGCTAAACTGGTCAATGCTTGAGCTCATTAGCAAAGTGTCCACTCT